TTAAGCTATCATTGGGAACTTTCTCTTGATATGTAACTGGAATTTATGCTAGTACCATGTACACTTATCATCTTGACCAGTGGCTCTACCTCATTGACCAAAAGAATATTGTTGGTGGTCCTTGGGTGTTGATTGGAGACTTTAACAACATCATTCATCCAAGTGAACAAAAAGGAGGTAATTTTAATCACTCTAAAGCAACTTCTTTGTTAAATGTCATTGATAAATATAATTTAGTTGAAGTATACATGATTGATGGGAAATTCACTTGGAATATGCCTTGTACTGGTAATTGGATGGTCTATCGCAAGATGGATGGGGCTCTGGTCGACGTTTCTTGGCACATGACTTTCCATGATGCTTATATTGAGGTGTTATGTAAATTTCATTCTGATCACAACCCAATTCTCCTAAGATGTGGCCTTTCCCTCCAAGGCCAAATGTCGCGTCCTTGTAGATTTGAGGCAACTTAGATCACTAACCTGTAAATTTTAATATAGTTTAGAAAATTTGGGGGAAATATCCATATGGTAAGGTAACTTGTCTACAAAATATGCAGCACAATTCTATCCTTTTTTATAATGAAACTTTTGGAGATATCAACAAATAGAAACACAACATTGAGAAGGGACTCAAGGGTACCAAACTCTCTTTGGAGAGAATAGATTCGACAATACTAGTTTCTCTATAATGGAACATTCAATAGGAGTATGATGAGATCTCTGCGTAATAGGAAATTAATTGGTATCAAAAGGCTAGAGATGATTGGATAAAATTAGGAGATCGAAAGACCAAATTTTTTCATACCAAGTCGGTAATCAAGAGGAAGAGAAATAAATCCATGGTCTTCATATTTCCAATGGTGTTTGGTGCAATAATGATACTATTCTCAGGGAAGAAGCACTGATTTTTTGTAAAGCTCTTTTATGTCCTACATCTGTTATACTCACCGCTAGTAATGGTGACTCAACTATGACTCATATCCTTACTAAAGAAGTCAAACACTCTTTGACTCAAAAAGTGACGAGAGAAGAAGTTATTTATGCGTTGAATCAAATGTACCCTTGCAAGGTGTAATACCCCAATTTTTGATTTATTGAAATTATTTGAATTATTATGATTTTTGTATTTATTTGATAATTGGATAATATTAATTAAATAAATAAGGGTTGTGGGAGTGTGACATTGAGGTGAGAGTGTGGAGAGTAATTAGAGGTTAGTAGAGTTTGATTAAATTATTAGAGTTTATTTTAATAATTAAAATAATAATATTTTATTATATTTATTTAATTTAATAGAAAATATAAAGGTTGGGGCCAAAGTGTGATTTATGAGGAATAGAAGGGAGGAAGGCGTAAGAGGAATAAGAGTTTGGGCCAGAATTAGAATTATGATAAGATTTACCCTAATGATATAAATTAGAAGCATAACCTAATTTTAGAGAGTTTTATCAGTACGTATAACCAGAATTGGATAATATAAGGGATGCTAGAGAAAGTGCAAGAGAAAGCTTAGAGCTTAGAAGGGATTAGAGAATCAAAAACCAAAATTTTGCACTCCTGCTAGGATAACCAGATAAGGGGGAGAACATTTATCAATAACGGGTATATGTATGACGAGTAGAATTAAGGAATCATTAACCTCCAATAGGGCATTAGGATTTTAACATAATTCTGTTATTAATGAATGATTTGTTGTATGTGATGATTATTAATGATGAAATTCGTGTGCTATGAGGTATGACACTTTGTGTTTTGATGAGTTAACATATATTCACCATTGTTGTTATTTTGAAGGTTTTTAGAATAACATGATTTTATGAAAACCATAAAATAAAGGTGTTGAGTTGATGAAATTTGATGTTATTGATGAACATATAACACGTGGGTGATGTTTTGGATCGATTTTGGATGCCTGGATATGGAATTAGAAGTTTTGCATTGAACTCCATTAGAGACACGAATTATGCAGGTTGTAGGGTGTTAACTGGCATCACGCTGGTTACAAGTAACCCGTCATGCCGCCCATGCTTGTTTTCAAGTTGGTCGTCACATAGGTGATGTTCTGAAGTGTTGTGGTTGGTGACGGACACCAGGGTAACCTGTCATGAGCCTACAATGAGCATAAATGCTTGTTTTAATAATATTAAGTTGCAGATTTTGATTTTCTACTTTTATGGATGTTTTGAGTGTTGTTATGCTATGTTAGCTACTGTTTAAATGATGTTTTGGTATGACTTAACGATTAAACATGTTTTTAATTGAAATATATGTAGTATTTGATGAATGACAGATATGTGCACACGTGACGATGATGTTGTTTTAATTGTTGTGACTTCTGATGATAATATGTTGATGTATGGGTATGAATTTTGTTGTTGAATTGTGCGTATGTTGTTGTAGGGAGATAGTTCGGGAGGGGAACTATTATCGTTGGGTCAATGTATGCTTTGTTAATCGTCAGGGTAGGACTTTAAAAATTATATGGTTATCGCATTGACATGTTGTGACATGCATTTATTATGTCATTGTTGTTGGGGAAAAGGCAAGTTACAATCAGAGTAGGGTGGATTTATGACTTGTCTCGAAGCCCAACAGGGTGGATTCGGGGTTTGAGCATGGAAAACCTAGTTCTTAAGTTAACCAATTGATGATGATATGATACCACATGCATATGAGTCTAGTTGAAGTTGTGAGTCTCATTGCATAATTTAAATGATGAATATGTGATTTATTTGTTTATGTTGATGGATTGAGTGTGAGAATGATGTTGTGTGATTATTCTTGAATGTGTAGATGTTTGGATTCTACCTTGTAGCTTATGTCGTTAAATTATTGATGTGAATTCTCACCCCCTTTGCTTTAATGTTGTCCACCATGGACATCTTGTAGATACTCAGGAGTAGAGTTGCTACTGTGAGTGGGAAATAACTCTTAGGAATATTTTCATTAGTTTTCATAATTTTAGTCGTTATACTCTGATTTTGTAACACTAGGGGCGAACGATGTTTTCTTTCATTATGTTTGACGCTAATTAACTTGTTTTGTTGAAGTTTAATAACTATTATGTTGAGTTGTCTTGAAGATGTTGAGAATTGGATATTGAAATTCCTTTTGAATCATTTTGGGAAAGTTAAGTCTACATAAGACCCAAATTGAAGTTAACATGTTTTGTTACCGAGATTAATGTGATTTTGCTGCAATGATACCCTAAGTGAAGGTGAGCATGCAATGACAAGTGTTGTATGTTGTTTGATTTTCTACTGGATATTTTCAAAATGTCTATGTTTTGTTGAAGGGTTGTCATTGGTAACACCTTAAATTGCCGAGTAATCATTTTTATATTAGTTTTGGGATTTAGAGTTTTACACAAGGCATCTGGCCCTGATGGATTTCAGGGTATTTTCTTTAACAATTTTGGCATATAGTTGGAGAGGATGTTGTCCAACTTATATCAGATACTTTTGTGACATATGGCTTTCACTCCTCTCTTTCGGATACTCTTATGACATTAACTCCTAAGGTAAATTGCCCATAAAATTTTAAGGAATTAAAGCCTATTAGCTTGTGCAACACTATTTACAAGTTTGTTAAGAAAATTATTGTTATCAGATTGCGTCCTTATCTATATCAGATAGTTGGACCCTACCAGAGTAATATTTTTTCTGGTAAAAGGACATTTGATAGTACCATTATCCTCCAATAAGCAGTTTATTATGTGTGTAAATATAAAAAGAAAAAAATTTGATATGGTGTTCAAAATAAATCTTGAAAAGCCTATGTTAATTGGGATTTCTTGGAATTTTGTTTGAATAGGAACGAGTTTCTTTCCATTACTATAAAGTTTATCATACACTGTGTAACTAGCCCCTATATGTATATTCTTTTGAATGAGAGACAACTACTAATTTTTGTTTTGACTTGAGGATTACGACAAGGTGATCCCCTTTCATCCTATCTCTTCGTTATATGCATGGAATTCTTGTCACATACAATCATCAAGACAATCGATGAAAACCATTGGAAATCTGCCAAGTTATCTCGTAATGGACCCCCTTTATCGCATTTATTTTTTTGCTGATGATGTTCTTATTTTTGCGAAGGTTTCTAACTTCCAAGAAGGGACCATTTATGATGTCTTGAATTGTTTTGCCATGTTTTTTGGGCTTAAAGTAAATGTTGCTAAATTAAAGGTGCTCCAGGACATGTATCAAGCGAACTCTTACTCTAGAAAAATACTTGGGTTTCTCTATGTTTCATGGTCGTCTTCAACACAAGGAATTTGAGTTCCTAAAGGAGAAAATCAGTCAGAGGTAAACATATTGGCAACATAAATTGTTAAGTAATGTTGGTCATTAACCAACTTGTGATTTCATTGATAAGATGGCTAAGTATTTTTTGTGGAAAGGTAATTCAAACTCTAGGGTGCATCTAATTGGCTGGAAAAAAATCACTAAGCCCAAAAAGTTGTGTGGTCTTGGGATTCAAAAAGCAAGAAATACATTTATGTTAGATAAGCTAGTTTGGGGTCTCCACTGAAATTGTGATTCCTTTTTGTTTGATATATTCCAGAAAGAAGATGATGGTTTAACCCTAATTTGTTAAATTTGCATACCAACCATAATTGTCTATTGTTAAACTAAATTACGATTATGTAATTTAAATTATGGTAATTCAATTTATTATTTGCTTCTCTGACATGCTACACCAGTCATAGTGAATGTTTTTTCCACACAAATTAACGATAGGGATTAGATGGTTTAATGAAAATGAAATTAGAGAATTATTATATGACATTTTTTTAGTTTATAGAACGAAGTGAAATTAAAGGACATATATATATTATACAGGGGTGGAAAATAAATAAATTCCTAAATTAATTTCAGTATTAAAAAAACAGGTTTTGAATTGAACCCAGCAAAGGAATCCTTTTTCGACATTGGTGACCTTATCCACTTCATTTCAAAAATTCATCTTGCACACAAACCTTTCAAATCTCTAATGGCGCTTCTACGTATTCCATCTCCTCTATTATCCACAAAACAACACCATGGAATAGTAATAACCTCTTTCTCCTCCATAAGCTTTGACAAGAACAAAAACTATTCCATCAACCCTAAATCCAATTCCTTGTTTTCTTCCATTCACTCTCTACGTCTATCTATTACGCATACACCAACTTTAATTAGAACCAAAGAACAAGCCAATTCTACTCTCAGATTCTCCGAACAACAACAAAGTCAAGTAATCGAGGAAAACACTGAAGAATTGTCTAGTACTAGTACTAGGTTGCTTGCTCAGAATGTTCCATGGACAAGTACCGCTGAAGATATTCGTTCTTTGTTTGAAAAACATGGGAACGTCATTGATGTTGAGGTTTAATCCTTCTTCATTGTTTTTATTTTCATTCTTTGAGGCTTTTATTTATCTGACAGTGACAAGTTTTTGTCTGTTTTTTGTTTTAGCTTTCTATGTATAATAAGAACCGAAACAGGGGTTTGGCGTTTGTGGAAATGGGTTCTCCAGAAGAGGCTCTTGCAGTTTTCAATACTCTCCAATCATATGTAAGCCCAATTTCATTTTTGCTATTCAGAAAAAGTTAACAAATGCATTCAGATACAATGAATTTAAAACATTGTAACATAGCAGAATTTGAACTAAACAATATATCTTCATCTGTGATTTACAACATTGTAGATTGTTTTTCATGTAGCTTTACGTATCAAACTCATTGGGAAACTTTCAACCTTGTGGCTTTTTTATTTTTATGTGTCTTCTGCTGTTGAAACTATTTGGCATCTATAGAAAGGGACCTTGATTCGACGGGTTTATTTGTTTATTTTGTGAATGCTGCGTAGGAGTTTGAAGGCCGCGTAATAAATCTCAAATATGCTCGGCCTAGGAAGGAGAAAACACCGCCGCCAGTAGAACAAAAGCCAATAACATTTAACTTGTTTGTTGCAAACTTGTCCTATGAAACGAGGTCTAAAGATCTCAAAGAGTTTTTTGACTCGGGAGCCAGTGGAGTTGTTTCTGCAAAGGTTATATTCCGTGAGGATCCTAGAAGTCCATCTGGTTATGGATTTGTATCCTTCAAGTCCAAGAAAGAAGCGAATGATGCTCTTTCCGCGTTTCAAGGAAAGGTAACTCGTGATTTTTGGCACCAATTTATATGTGTATTATCATTTTCACAAGTATTCCTGCAATTTCTCGTGACATTTGAAAAATTGATTTTCTGCAGAAATTGAAGGGAAACCCAATCAGGGTTGCACCTAGTAAGCGATTTGTTCAACTGACAGAGGAGAGTGCAGGATCCGAAGATAAATCTTCTGAGTCGAGCACAAACAAGGCAGTAGCAGACAAAGCTGATTGATATCATTATTATTGATGTTGTATGCCCTTGCTTCGAACATTTTAATTGTTTTTCACATTCTTACCAATAATACGAAGTCTTTAATTGGTTAAAATTATGTATGTTTTACAGGTAGTTTCACCTTTGTGAATATTTGTTACTTCATAATGACATGTGAAAGCAGCATATATATACATGGCATGTAGAATACTAGAAACAGCACCTAAAGAACTGCAATTAAGTAATGTTATCAAGAATATTGGTTCAATTTGTATCAGAAGGAAACACAATCAAACTGTTCTAAGAGGAAGATATACAAAACCTTGAACATAACATTATGTGATAGGACAAACCATTTCTATTAATTGTCTCTCAAAGGCCAAGTTACATTCTTGCAGACCGAGTTCCCTGTGTATGTTATATCATCAACAAAAGTGGAATGCTGCTAATGCATGTAAATGTCTACTGTCGTGGATAGTGATATGAGTAACTGTAATGTTTATTCTTGATGGGTTTTACTAGAAGAAGTAGCCTTGTTGTACAAAATTATGGTTGCATAGGTTTTTGTGTGATCTTATTTTGAGTTGTTTTAAACGCGGTTCACAGTGGTTTGCAGACCGATATTGTGAAGATGGAATAAATTTGTAAATTTGAATTTTTTAAGGGCAAATTTATATTTTGACCCTTTAATTTGACCTAATATAAAAGCTGTTTTAGGTCATTTCACATGTCTTTTTTTACCGTTTTTCTCTTCACTTGTGTGCTTGCGTTTCAGAAAGTCATCTTCGTTAAACTTCTTCCACATTCTTCTTTGTAAATTATCCAAAATCATCATCCTTCTTTACCTATTCATCTATTTCTTCACCTTTCTCATCCATGACATCATCTTCTGCAAGTTTGACACAAACTTCTAACAACAAAGGTTTTTTAAACTTATCGGTGACAATATTGACATAGGTTGACTGTGAAACTCGTATAAAGACCAAAGCAAAAAAACCATTGTTTGTGATTTTTGTGAGCATCCTTCAACGAGAGGAATAATACGAGCTAAAAAGTATCAGTTGGGGATAAAGAGGTAAGGTAAAGCTTGTAGGAAAATGCCAACTGACATTAATTTTTTTTGCAGGATAGTTATGATAAAAAGCTATTAGTGATGCATATATGGCTGATGTGAATGTCAATGAGGAGGATGAAGATGTTGTTAAGAAAATATCAAACCTTTGGGCAAGAAAAATATCTTCAACAGTTGCTGCCAGAACCAAGAATAATGCTAAAGGCCCAATGGATGTGCTAATATTTCAAAATTCAGAGGTATCTCTTAAGAAAACACTTTCACTAACTAGAATGCAAAAATCCGTTAAAGATTCTTTCAAAATGACTTATCTTTTAATATTGTGAAATCTAAGAGCTTCAAGTTAAAGATTAAAGCTGTTGGAAATTATGGGCAGCACTTGAGATCTGCTAGTTACTATGGACTTAGAGTTTTCTTACTCAAAAAGGAACTAGAGTTCACCAAGGCAAAGTTATAGGAGCTAGTGATAGTACAATGATCAATTTCATGGTTCGAGCAACACGAAGATGAAGATTATATTGAAGATATTTGTAGCTTATGGTTGGATCAAACTCCAACTATATATCTAAAACTGATATACCCGCATGAGAATATGATATTGTATTAACTTCTGTTAGTTAGTTTTGACAAAATATATATAATGAGAATATAACAAGGGACTTGAATGAAGATTTTTGTTTACTAATTATATTTATACAAAATGCAATTGTTTATTATAACAAGAATACAATTTGATCTATAGAAAATATTCAACTAATAGCGACGTCCGTTTTTGCGTGTCTGTCACCAGATTCTTAAATACATTAAAAATCGACTTTTGCAGTGAAATTAATATATCTAAATTTTTTTAAAATTTTAAAATAAATCCTCAATTAATTTCAAGATTCTTCCGGTACCTTGAAATTAATTGTTTAGATAATAGTGTCGAATACTGTTTTTGTTGTTTCAATATGTGACCGATATCTCTCCCTTCTACTTTCATAGTAAGTTTTTACTTTTCAAAACTAATATTTCAAAAAGGAAATTTTAAGTATTTTCTCGATCAACTTTAACCCTGCTTTTGCACGTTGTCATAACTAATCGTTCAAATTTCTAAGTATGATATCGCCATCGTAGGTGCATAAATGATATCTCTTTATTTCTATTTTCATAGCAAACATTTTTTTTATCATTTACACAAAAATTGCAAAACAGACATTTATCTCATTATAATTACTTATATAGGCATTTTATATGAACTTTACTGGTAAATAGGTCCACAGATTTCAGACCCTATAATAATCTACTCAGACATTGTAAAACCAATAATTAAATAACATACATTCATGACCTAGATGCTAAAGTTCAGCAAATGAAAAGAACCGAGAAAGTGCAGAAAAATTGAAACTTGCATAAATAAATTGTTCTGAAGGGAGAATTTTAATCTGATAGAACGATGAACTTGAAAATAATAATGCAGAAAAGTAGCAATAGCAGTAACAGAAAATGAAAATCAGCAGCAAAACTAACTTAAAAGTGCAAAAAAATAAAATTGCATAAACACTTCAATGTGAAGTGTTTATGTTTTAACAAAGTATAATTTTGGCTAGTACAAGCTTGAATGCCAAAAATAATGAAGTAAGGTTCTATTTATAGCCTAAGATTTCTCGTAGTCTTTTGAGAATGCTTTGCATAAAGTGAAGCATTTTCACCATCCCTTGCATGTGTCGATATAGCGGTTTCGACTAAATCAGATGCTCAAAGATGGGAAAGTCATCTCGTTGCTAGGGTATCCCTAACACTTTGTTTTTATTTATTTTTTTGTTTATTTATTTGCATGTATTGTATGTAGAGCACGTCTGTAATGAAAAAATATATGTGCATATATTTTTAATGAAGTATTTTGTATGTGGTACATTTGTAATGGAAAATTGTCTCATGTTTGGGACTTGATCTATCACCTCTATTAACATGACTAGTTATGTTAGGTTTCAAAGAAATCATTGTGTTATCTTGGAATATCCTAGGAGCCTCTAAAAATAAGGCTAAAAGACATATGATGGATTTGATTAGAAAACACTCTCTAATGTTTTTAATTATTATGGAAATACATATAAGTGTAATATTCTCTTAGATAGGTTTTGTATGATGTCAAAACTAGGTAGCTTAGATATTTGTATATTTGGACCTTACAATATTTGTCTAAATGTGCAACATCATCATAAAACATGTAAGACTAGACTACATAAGCCATCACATGCCAAAATATGAGTTTTTCAAAAAAAGTCATGCATGGGTTGATATATCCTTAGTATGGGCCGATACATCCTTAGTATGTGTTGATACATACTGAGTGGAAATTCAAAGAATTTGGATCTGCCTGTAATGGATCGATACAAAGGAGAATGGATTGATACATCCTACGAATGAGTTGACTCATTCTTGGTTGGGTCGACTCAATCTGAAAGGTGTTTTCAAGGATTTGCCACTACCTTCAATGTATCGATACATTGAAGGAATGAGTCGATACATTGAGTGAATGAGTCGACACTCCCTTGTTTTGAGTCGACTCATCCTAAATTTTTTTTTATGCAAATTGCCTACTGCCTCCAATGTATTGACTATACTGACCAGGTGATGTATTGACTCATTTCATTTTAGAGTTAATACATTCTGTACCAAATTTTAAAATTGCATTTTGGCTAAAAATATGTTTTGCTCATTTCTTTTCTACACACAGACATACATATAAATACTCATTCATGAATCATTTCTAAGAATTAAAAACTGAAAGATATAAGAAATATCATCATCTTCAACCTTTCTTGGCGCATTCATCAACTACACATAATCATTTTTTATTGTTTTTTGCCAAGACAAGATTGATAAGGTCCAATTTAAATTTGTGTAATCAAATTGGGTTAAGGTTTTCTTTGGGGGATTCAAGGATAAAACTTTAGGTATTTTTACTCCAAGGTCAAGGGTTGATTTGGAGGTTTTTGCACAAGTCTTGTCAAATTGGATTCAGTCAAGTGAAGACTTTGAAGAATGAGGATTCTTGCAAAGGAGTAGCGGTAACCAGAGGATCAATTGAAATACTTGGGGCAATATTTCACAATTTGGATTCAGCCGAGTGAAAACTTTGAAGAATAGTGGTTCGGTCAAAGGTGTAGTTGTAACTGGAGGATCATGTTGAAGATCTTGTGTGACTTAATCTTGCTAAGATCAAGGGTAGAGAAAGATCTAGGATCAACATCAGACATAAGGTTTAGGGGTTTGAATTTCTACTACTTGTCTTGTAAACTGATATTGCAAAGGTTAATTACAATATCTCAATTTGATTTTGAATTGAGGGAAGACGTGTCATAGTGAGGACAATTGGGGAACTGTCTAAATAAATCTTGGTGTTCTCTCTCTCTCTCTCTCTCTCTCTCTCCCAGTCTCTTTCTCTCTCACATACACACACACACGCACGCACTCTCTCTCTCTCTCTCTCTCTCTCGATTTTGAGAATAATTAGTTTGTAATTTGTATTGTTGAAAATCTTGGCATTCTCTCTCTCTCTCACTCTCTCTCTCTCTCTCTCTCACACACACACACACACACTTTCTATCTCTTTCTCTTTCTCTTTCTCTTTCTCTCTCTCTTCTCTCTCTCTCTCTCTCTCTCTCTCTCTCTCTCTCTCTCTCTCTCTCTCTCTCTCTCTCTCTCTCTCTCTCTCTCTCTCTCTCTCTCTCTCTCTTGATTTTGAGAATAATTAGTTTGTAATTTGCATTGTTAAAAATTCTGGTTGTGTTGAAGTGATTAAAACTGTTTTTGTAAACATATTGCAATCTAAGCCATTGCAATTAATTTGTTATAACTTCAACACAAAGAGAATCAAGTTTGATGTATTACACATCAAGTGTTTGATAAAATTACTACACACTAAGTGTTCGATAAAACTCCTTAGTCAAGTTTTATTTTACTT